GGTATATGTTTGACAGAAGTGTGGTTTCTATTTTACTTCTCACAAATCTCAATTTCCAGACATAATTCAATCACATAGTACCCCGCAAAGAGGAGGATAACATGTAACACAAAATGAAGACTTATGTCATGGAATGAATTCTTCGATGATCTCACTGATAAATAATAATTGAATATTTGAAATTTACATTTAGAATTCATCGAAATGTTACGAAAAGATAAAATCTCTATTCATTATTGAATAGTGATAATCGTAGCAGACATAAACTCCAAAATCAGTAATAGATTATGAGAGAATTTTTAAAGCAATTATCATTTATTCTCATGTATGACTTCATGCTCAATTAGAAGTATTTATTAAACATTCGTATTTATATTAATATCTAATGTCCTTTGTCCTTGAATAGATTCTTTCTAGGCTTATCTGAATTTTTTTCTCCATAAATCTTAAGCAAAAAAATAGATTTTTTTTTTCAACACTGCAATTAATTCTACATGTTTTTTAAATAATATAACTTTTTTACTTTTTTATCGATATTTTGTTTAATTGTTATTGATTGTAAATCATTTAGAATTGTATTATTCGAATTTTTATTACTATCTTCATGATCATTTGATAAATTTCTATGATATATTGGTATTTCTAAACATGATAAATCTGCTAAACCTTCATCAGCTTTATCTAATTCTGAACCCATAAATTTAAATAATGTTACATGTCCACCACGTCCAGCAACAATTAAATATTTTCCTTCACAACACATTTTTATTGAATAAATACTAAATGGATTATCATCATTCATTAACATTGTTTGTTCATCATTTGTACCACTGTTTGCACGTGTAGATTTTGTATCAAATTTAACATTTGAATTTAATTCTTTATTTGTATTTGTTGTTGTTGTTGGCATAGGATTTGTTGATTGTATACGATCAAATAAACGATTTGTACGTAATTTATATAAAAATACAAGATTACAACCTGATGCATCCCAAAATTTAATTGAACCATCAGAATGACTGATAAAAAAAAAATAAAATGAAAATTTTATTTACGAAGAACAAAAATTTTTTTGTTTTGTTTTTCTTTTTACCCAGTTATAATAAGTTCATTATAACCAAATATCGTTGAACCTGAACGACCACCTGATATTGGATTTTCCTATAAGAAAACGAAAAAAAGAAAATTAGATCGAAATTATTCACATAAAAATCAATATACCTGTTGACTAAATGAACGTTTAGGTGTTTGTTTTGAGTGTAAACGAAGCAGATTTTGATAAAAATTTGTATTTGGTTCTGTTATATAATCACAATAAGTTATTGATGATTCATGTAAATCTAATGTATGAAGACTTTCAAATAAAGGATAACTAAAATTAAATAAAATTAGTTTTTTTTTTTTAGGAAACAAAACATACGAATTTTCTTACTTTTCGCTTTTTAAATCAATCATAACAAGATCATTTTCAAGTAAAATAACAACAGCTGATGGATCAGGTATATCTTTAAAAAAATAAAAACAAAGTCAAATTCTATATCAAAAGAATGGATTTTAAAAGGAAACTAACCAGCTATATGTGGGGATGGTGATATAACATGAAAATCAACAATTGCATTATCCATATGAAGAACATTTGTTGTTTGACCACGAAGGATTGTTAAAAAATATGATGATGGTTTTGATGGTTGTATATTATTACCAGATGTTTGTTGTTGATCAGTTTGTGATGGCATTCCTCCAGAAAATATTATAAATGAATCTCCACTAGAATTTAAAAACACAAAAAATAACAGATATTGAATTTTATTAAAATTCAAACACTCATACGAGCTTTTAACAACACTCCAAACAACTTTTGTTATTGGTCCAAATTTAGGTGCTTCATCTTTACAAATACGAGCTAAAAAAAAAAAAAGAAAAGTTCAACATTTTTGTAAATCCAAAAAATGTGGTTTTTTTTATTGTCATACTATGTGGATAATTTATGCTAACAGGCTTATCAACAGATCGTAAATTCCATACGGATAATGAGCCATCACAATGTGAACACATAAATTGTCGACCTTCATAATGCCATGATAGAGATGTTAAGCCCTATGAATCAGAATTTATTTCGTTTTTTTTTCAAATTAAATTATTTTAAATTTTACATGTGGTAATGTATAAACAGTTTCAGATGTTTTTTGTTGTAAATTCCAACAAACAACATGGCCAACTGAAACATTATTTGGTGATGATAAATGTGTACTGAATCCAATGTACAACTGAAAAATAACAAGTCAGATTACTAAAACAGATCTATAAATCATCTCTTTTCTATTCATTAAAGTGCTATTATATATTCCAATATTCTTTACTTCCGGTATTATTTATTCATCTATTCACATAAGATACAAGCAAATAGTATTGTTTCATGTTAAGCATGAGAGAACGAAGAATATCATGTGATCTTGACATTTTTAGAAAGACAAGATTATTCTGAAGAGTACTTATACTATTTTAGAAAGTTTCAGTATCGATTAAATTTTATAATAAATTAAATAACTATTTAATCTTTAATGGACAAAAAAAATAACTCGAAATCCATAAGATTTAATTGAATTTTGCTTTTTTAATTCTCTAACGAATAGCTTGCATAAAGTCGGTTAGCTTGGCAAAGTCACGTTTCGGAAGTAAGACACTCTTTTCCGATGAGTTTTAAAACTCAAATATTAAATTAATTATCTTACTCGAGTTGGATCATCAGGGTTTTGACATAAATCAACTACAACTCCTGGATGTGAACTTTTACCCCTATGATAAAAATTTTAAAAAAATTAATTTGTACAAATTAATTTATTATACATACATTCCAATAGCATTATTCCACATAATTTTATATGATGAAAGTGTGAATGTATCAAGATTAACAACATATACATTTCCACAATTAGTACCAACTAAAAGCCATTTTGAATTAAAAGCAAGTGGTAATAAACAACGACTTATTCTTAAAAAATGAAAATTAAATAAGTTAATTATATTAAATAATTGTCATATGATATTTTTGTTTTTTTTTTATGTTATTGATAAGTGTTTATATTATATTTAGAAATATCAGAAAAATGAAATGAAAGACTTTTTAAGATTATTTCATGAGTCTTTTCATCAAGAAAGAAAGAAAAGAAAACTAACAGGAAATATTAAGAGAATGAATCAATATCTCATGAGATTTCATTACAAATTCATAGTTTTAACTTACTTTTCTTTAACAAATCGAAGTGAATTAGCAATAACTGGTTTCTTTTGACGTAAATTCCATAAATGTATATAGTTGTCTCTACAAGCACTTATCAGTGCGCCCTTTTAGTAAAACAAAAAAAAAAGAAATTATATTTTATTTAAATTAATAAAACAAAAAAGAAGATTCTACTTCATTTATACGAAAAACTAATTGAACAATATCCACTTCACTTGGATGTTGTAATGAGCATTCAACAAATGCACCACCATAACTAATTATTTGAAAATTTTCTTTATTATTTTATTAACATAGAACTTTAAACTTACATTTTAATAAGACCATGTTTTGTTCCAATAGCAAGAATTTTTTGTACAGGATCATAAGCAACTGTTGTTGGTCGATATGGAAAACCATATCGAACCATCTAATATTCAAATAAATGATTTTTTTATTGAATCAATTATAGAAAAAGTAATGTCTTACTTCACTTAATGAGAAATCATCTTTTTTTAATGTTTCATTTATTTCTATTTCATTTATTTTTTTTGAATCACCTAATTTAAATGGTAATTTAATTCGACTTGACATTATGCTAGAATTATTTTTTTTCTCTTATATGTTATTTGGTTGAGAAATCACATGTATAGAATAATAAGTTACATCTAGAAATAAATGAATATTTATTATTAATATGTACGCATCCATATAAATCATATTAAATTGAATTTATATTTTAAATTCTTTTAGTTCTTTTTTTTTCTATTCTTCTAGTTTTCCGATCAAATTTGTCGTCTTATACCCGATCTGATTGCTCGATTAGAAATAAATAATAAATAGTAAATAATAATTGACAAGTTCTTCTATTTTGAACTAATAACAAAAAAGTTTTAGATAGAGTGCGCAAGTTGACAGTTTATGAATAAATATAAATAATTTATTATTTAATCAAATACAATTATATGGCACTCAAAAAATATAAAATAGCTTAATTTATAAAAAGCCAAAAAGAAGATTATTTTATTTTCAATAAATTTTATTTGTTGTTTAAAAGACACTCTTGAAAACATCTATAGCAATCACTATAATCAGTATACAACACATCCAATCTTAGGAACTGAAACATATCGACAAAAAGTTTTCCATCATCTGTTTTTTTTTAAATATATATTTTCTATACAACAATGTATAGATGAAAGAAAATAAACACTTATCAATAATGAAATTCCTACAATTATTTATATTTTTCTGTTAAAATCATGATCTATAATTGTGAATAATAATAATAAACTTATTCGATAGAAAAATTATATTAATTAGTATTAATAAATACTTTATAAAAATGTTGATTTAAATTAATCCAATAAGAAAAAATAAAACTAATGATTAAATTCTTTAGAAGGAAAAAAAAATTATTGATTTCGTGCTAACATAGTATATGCATTTAATTGACCTTTATATATTTATCTTACATTTTTTTTTGCACACTAATAATGATTTTTTATTGTTGGAACAAAAATTAATCATGTTTTTTTTTGGTATTAATAAGAAAAAAACACTCTTGTAATTTGAATCGCACTGTCGAACATATGTGTTTCTCGATCGAATAAGAAACGCAAAAAGAAACACTCTTTGTCTTGTCAACATACAAAGTCTTTTTGCTGTCATCAGAAAAATAGGATAAAAGAAAAGAATATTCCAGATTTTGTTTATTTATATCCAAGAAAACAATATAGATATGTAGGATAACTCAATATATGAATATATATATATATATTTAACAGTCTTTTATTTCTTGTTTAATTGATAATTTTTTTTTTCTATGTTTTACTAATTGATTTTGATTATTAGTTTCATAACTACTTATTGAACGTTTCAATGATGTTGATTTTATATTAGTTTTATTATTAATTGTCGAACGAAGTTCATTAGAAAATGCTGCCTAATAAAAAAAAAAAAACAAAGAACAAATTCAATAATTAGAAAAAACCACGTATCATCTAATGAGAGAAATCTTTCAATTCATTAATTACTATTAAGTCAAGACGATATATATACTACAGATATTAATAAGTTATGAATACTCTGGAAAAAGCTTGATTCTTCTGCTCATTGCTACAGACTTATTGCATTTTGGCAGTATTTTCAAGTCAATGCCGTCTTTTCCCTAAGGAACATGATAATAACTGATTTTCGAATACTATGAAAGTTTCAGATCTTTTTATTCTTCTTATTCTAACCTACAGCTATGACGAAAGTATGTTTTATAAATATCTTATATACATCGACAGATTCGATTTTCTTATTTTAGAATAAAAATAAAACAACAGACCTGAAACTTTTCCAATAAACTATTCTCATTAGGGCTTTTCGCTGTGCAATATGTTAATGCAAAAAAAAAACAGTTTTCATAATGTTTCTCATGAGAACTAAGACATTTACTTTACAAAATTCTACCAAAATGCAATATCTGTGCAGTAATACTCGAAGGATACCGAATTCATTTCAGAGTATTTATCACTTATTAATGTCTGCATAATGTACATATTCTCTATCAAACAGTTACTAATCAATTGAGATATTTCCATCATAAGATGAAAAACTTACAGCTTGTGCCCAACCAGCAAATGGTTTCCAAAGTTGTTCAAAAAATGAAGATATATCATCATAATTACTTGTAGTTAAATGTAAATGTTTTTTTTGTCCATAATATGTTACTGCTATTGAATGTATATGAGTATCGACAGGTACAACATCTTGTTTTCCAAATGACATTAATAGAACACAATCTGCAACCTAAATATTTATTAAAAGACAAAGTTTTATTATTATTATTATTTTTTTTTTTGAATAGATTTTCTTACTTTTCTACCAACACCCATAATTTTTAATAATTCAATACGGGCTTCTTTAACTGATAAAGATTTTAATCGATCAAAAAATAATAAATCATTAATAGTATATTTAAGATATTTAATTGTTTCTTGAATATATCGAGCACGATAACCAAAATTTAATTCTCGTAAATGTTGTTCAAGATTTGGTTTATCAAGTTCATCTGAAAAATTTCAAACGAAATAAAATCTTGTTTTTTTTTTTGTAACTAAAATACCTATTGTTGGAAATTCATGATAAGTTATACCATTCAATGTACCAATTTGTTTTCCATATTTATCACAAAGTAATTTAATCATTTTTGTTATACGCTGTACATTATTATTACTTGAACATATAAATGATATTAAATTTTCTAGAGGATCTTGTGCTAAAACACGTATACCAATTGGTATTAATCGATTTTGAAATCTTTCATCAGATTTACACCATATTTGAAATAAATCATGAAGTTTTATCGATAATTGAAAATAATTATGTAAGATAAGAGATGTTTCAGTTTGACGATCATTTTCATTTGATAAATTTAAAAGATTCTTATTTGAAATATTCATATAAAATGTATAATGAAGATTTTCATTTATATGTTGTAAACGGATAATATACGATCCAAGAACACCAACAAATTCATTCGATATTTGTTCTATCCATCTGTTAAATATGAAAATAAAATGAAATATTTAAGAAAAATTTACCGAAATGATTGTCCACCAAGTAATGTTTGTTTTAAATTGAGTTCAGTAAAGGATATTGGAATTGAACCTGAACAATAATGAATAAGATTATCGGAAAGTATGGTAGTAACTGGTGATGGTGTTAAAGAACTCATCGGATAAATATGAGATCTAGAATTGAATAAACATCATATATTTTATAGAATGTTCATGTATTATTGTTGTGTTTAATTCACCTCAATTTTTGTTTTTTTCGTAATAAATAAATGAACATTATTTGAGTAGAAAAGCGATGAATTCTTAAAGAAACTCTTGAATAGACACTTCAATATAATGAGGCTTTTTTTGTCTATGAGAAGTTATTTGTCAATAATAGAAAGAAAAATATCGTCCTAAAAATGAAAATAAAATAGATTAAAACTATTTCCTCTGTCTTGTTTCCCTATTAGAACGATTCATCTCTTTTAAAAAATTTAAAACTATACTTTTTTCAACTTTTCATTATAGTCGAATAATTTAAAAGATGAACATTATAAAATTTTGTTTTACATATTCATTATCGAATATACTACCTCGATGTAAGAAACATACATTATATAAAACAGATTTTTATCAATGTTTGCAAATCATCACGGAATACTAAAATAACTAGATTAATATTTTTATTTAATTCAAATAATCTATCTATGATAATATCATGATTGATATAGTTAAAAACAACTAAAATTTTCATCATTTAACTATAGTCAATCTTTTATTAAAATGTTAAATGTTAACTTCATTCTAATATTCTTCTTTCTATCTATAGAAGTATTTATTTGAAGTAATCATGACCAGAGAGACAAAGACAAAAAAAAACAGAATTTGTCATCTATTTACAATCACATTTACAACAGTAGAGAAAAACAGAAGTTAGTTAATATCAATTATAGCAAGAAAGAAAAAGAAATAGATGAACTCGATTTAATTTGAAAGGTTTTATTTTTTTGTAAGATAGATTAACAAATAACTTATGTTACATGTTTTGCATATACAGCAACAACAGTTTTGTCTGTTTGTTGGATAAGTACCTGACTATAATGAAAGATAAATTAATATAATAAATAAAAATATTTTTCATACGCTTCATTATGTTCAAGACAAACAGTTGTTTTTCCACCTGATAATGATTCTGCAAATTCAGCTAATAATGCTATTGGTCCAGGAGATATTGAAACATCTTTACCTGTATTTTTTTAAATTAAAATCAAAAATAAACAAGAATATTTAAATAAATAAATCAATATTAACTTGCTAATAACAATCCATTTTTATCATAAACAAGAATACCTTTGATTCCAACACCAACCATAGTAAATTTTTCTATCCTAAAAATAAAGGAAAATAGATAAATCTTCTGTTTAAAGATTGTTTCATAAGTATTGGCTTCATTTTTTTTTGTTATCTGTGCCATAATTTAAGGTGAATAAACATTGGCAATATATTTTTGAAGAGTATCATCTAAGCTATTATCCAACAAAAATTGCATTTAATTTGCATCAATCCTCAGAAAATGCTACATTAGTAAAAATATTCAAAGAATTTTTATTGTTTTCTTTTAACCTTTAATATCTGTATTTTCAAATATGGAAGACATTGTAATGAAAATTAGTGTCGACAATATCAAAATATTACAAGTGAATTAGTCTAATCATTATTCATTGTATATTAAGATAAGAATATAGTTATAGTTTAAAAATGACAATCAATCACTCATTCACTACAAGTCACTGTCGTAGTTCTGCTATTATAGCACGCTATTAATCATGTGAGAGAAAATTTGAACATCCATTTTTCTCGTGTCAAAAAAGATTTGACCAAAACTTTTCAGGTCATGGTAACATTCGGTAAACCATAATGAACCAATGCTACACGCCATGTGTCAATCTTTCATGTATCTAATTGTTTATGACACACATTGATTAAACATATAGCCTCTAAACTTCTGTCCCTCTAGTTTGAGCATGCCATTTTGGTACTGTTATCGTCTATATGTCCATGAAAATAAAATTTCTCTTAGCTGAATAGCATACTTCAAGAATAAAACAACAGAAGGGACTCACAGTAAGTGAGTAACTGCTTTGTTTCGTAACCGTGACCGAGAAAAAAAGTTTTAAAGAAGCTTCACAAAACTTTTTCAATATCTATACTAATGCATCACTTAGGATTGATGCGAATTGAGTGCAATTTCTCTTGAATGATGCATTAGATATTACTCTTCAAAAAAAAAATATCATCAATGCCCACACATATTTTAATACGACACAGATTTAAAAAAATGAGGACGATACCTATTGAACACTTATTATGTTGTTAAATAATGGTATACATACGCATTATCAATTAAAGCGTCAAATTTCTTGTCCATAATTTATCTATTAAAAAAGAAACAGAAGAAAATTAGAAAATGTTTGTTTTCTTTCCCGGAAGTAAAATCACAAACACATGTTGTTTTTTATTTTTACAAAACTCTTATCATTATGAATGTGACAAAATAAACGAGAGAGAGAGAAGGAAATCTAAGAACTAAGAATATCATATTCAAATCAAACCAAATTATTTAGCTATTTATTCTTCATTATTAACAATTTCTTTATGAGTTGGATCATTTCTAATGGCTTCTTCTTTACGTAATCGTCGTCGACGTAAACGTAATTCTCTTTCATATTCTTTAGCATCATCAAGTTTACTAAAAAAGAAAAATTCCTATTTTCATGATATCAATAAACTTTAAACTAACTTGTTTATTTCACATTTTTCCCATGCATGTCGTTCAGGCTCACAATAAGCGTATTGTGATGGCCAATATTGTTGCGTGCAAAGCATTACAGCACGAAAATAATGTGCACAATAGTCACGTTTATCATGAGGAATATTTAAAATTTGCATTTCTTCTTCAGTATACGGTGCAACTAGAATAAGAATAAAGTTTAGATAAGAAATTCAAAAACGAACGTTTTCTTTTTCACATAGACATCATCTTCGATGAGATGTCATATGAAGATAAACTTAATGATCACTGGCAACTGACTACAGATACAACAATCATACGATTTTGTAATCATTGGCTTTTCTTTCTGGATAAATAGAAAATCATTACAAACTACAACAATTTTAATAATCAGAGATGCACTTACAAGCCTCATTGTTACTCTCAATGAAACGGATAAATGCTTACTAAATATACAGTACTGATAAAGGTTTTCATCATTTAGATACGTCAATGATAAAATACTAAATGACATTGAAACATCGATTATTTTGAAATTGTTCCTAATCTACTCGTTGGAAAATGTTACATGCTAAATCAAAGTTGTTTTTTCGAAAACTATTCTTACTTTGTTCAATGACAACTATAAAATCTTTAAATTGACTATAGGAAAGAAGCAGCCAATCAAGAAAACAAAGTTCAAATCTATGTAAGAAAAAAAAAACATCATTTTATGTATATAGATTACTAAGCCATCATCACATACGATTATCTTTAATATCTAAATAACGAATTCAAGAGTTCAATAACAATATATGTGTGTGTATGCGTTGTAATCAAAATAAAACTTTCAATTTTGACTAGACAAAATTAAACTTTTTTCTTTGTTGATGAATACAAAAAGGTTAAGAAATGCAACCAATTCGATTACAAACAAACTTCTTTTATTTCAAAAAATTGATTACCAAATATTGTATGAAGATGTAACGGGTGTGCCCGGATGAATGGCCGCGTTTTGCATTTCAATTTTCATTCACTTAATATGCAATATTAAAAAAAACAAAATACACCTTAAGATGCAGCATTGAAAGCTCTACAATTGAGACAACATAACTTTTATTATAGTTGCACTTTTTGCTTTCAAAATAGACAAAATTTGAAGCAATCAAATATCAACTGTACGAAAATTGATCGCAGAGAATTTTCCTTTTTTTTTTGAAAACAATTACAATAAGCTTTTTTATTTTTTTTAAGATAACATATTAAGTGCATGAAAATTGAAACGCAAAACGTGACCATTCATCCTGGAGCACCCGTTAGTTGTAAGAAAATCCCCATCCTAACTTACATCGAAAACTGAATAGCCACACATCAAACACAATCCATATCTATACTCTTTGTTATCAAGATTTTACCATTTCCTGTTCATCAGAAAAAAAAATATTCAATCTCATCTAGCGCAGATTTAAAATTTGACTAAATTGCAATTTTGACGAGAAAAAATAATAAAATATAACCTACTTTTATTGCACTGCTCTTAGAAGAAAACGATTAGGTCTCATTTAGTCGAAAAATAACATTGCAATGAAAAGGTGAAGAGTAGATGAATCTGTTTGATTAGATCTTTTTAAACTTACTAATCAAAGATAATAGTTTTAATAATCCTCCGTGATCTTTTTTCAAACCGCTTATTACAGAGCAGTATTAGTTACCCATACAAAAAACATGTGTAGAAAAACAAAAAAAATATTTTTTTTATGCTATTTAATCATATACATTTTGTTAAGATGCTCTTCCAATGTCAGTTTTTGTTGTCCAGAGTGTATGTGTGGGAGTGAATGTAGGTTTGAACGAAGAGTATATTCTCACCCTCACCCTTAATCAATTGCTTTACAAAAAGTATTGCTTAAGTCAATCGAAGCAATTAATTTAGTTGCTTTGATCGAAGTTTTTTCATTACAGTTTAATTGTACGACGAAACGAAAATGCACTAGGAAAAGATCCAATTTAGCTGAGCAACATTTGATAGATCAGCGATGGAACTATTCTGGATTTTTGGCTATGATTACTAGTTACCGACCGATTAGAAATCCTTGTCAACACTGAATTGACAAGTTGCTATACTATTCCATCTGTGAATAGTGATATTGAACGTAGTCAATTTTCACGGAAGTTTCATTACACATCTTCTATGAAATAATAAGAGTAAAAAAAATAAATAAATAAGACAAACCAGTCTACCGGCAATCAGCTGATAAACCGATTCCATCTTTGTGGTAGATGCTCGTCACTTTACATCTTATTAGCATCTGAAGACAGATATTTTACGTTTATCAGCAATCATCTCTTACTGATAAGTGTTGAAATGGGAAGAAAAAAAAATAGCGGCTAGAATGACAATTCTATGTAGTTACTATGTCTAATTACATAGTACTTATTGAATGAAATCGACCGTTTTTTTAAATACAGTCCAATATTAAGATGCATATTGTTCGATTGTAATCAACAAAAACCTGATACTTTCAAGCAAAAAAGATTAACCAATGTCAAATTCCAGACACATCCATAATCATCTATTTATTTTTTTTTGCACTTACTTTTTGGTTTTCGACCATCAGGAAAACCATACATCTTAATAAAATATTCATAGAATCAAATAATCTCACAGATTTTCTATCATACCGGATCAAATGTTGGACCTTTTGCTTTATCAGGATATTGTTCAGGATGTCGAGCACGATCAATCGTGCCACTTATGTTAAGACCCATTCTATTTCTTTTTCGTTTTAAATCTATTAATCAAAAAAAGAAAAAGAAAAAATACAAATAAAAAACAAAGACAATCTAGAATAAGAAAACAAACACGTCAGATAACATTGTATTTTCTAAATAAGAAAGGAGAGAGAAAAAAAAAATAAATGATTATAATTACAAAACAGAAAAAAAAACCCAAAGTTTTTTCTTTTAGAAAAATGAGCCATAAATTTGTAGAGCTAATTTTGGATTATTTTTTTCTAAATGATTAAATGCTGGTGTTTTTAATAAATCTGAATATTTATGAAATAGACCAAAGCATTTTTCACGTAATTCATCACATCCATGATATGTATCTAATAAATCTAAATATGAGAAAACATTATCTTTATTAATATGATTTCTTAGTAATTCAATAAGACATTGATGTTTAAGTGAATCAATTAAAAATCGATCAGATAATTTAAATAATTCAATTAATAACAATTCATCATGAATAGCATGTTCAATACGATTTGTATAAAGATATTTTAGTAAAATATCAAATGCATTTACATCAATATCACCACTTAATTTTAATGGATTATTTGTACAATCATTAAAATGACTTCCAAATGATGTTTTAAAATAATCAGAACGTAACATAAGTATATGTCGATGTGCATGAAATGTATGTGTACCTATTTCAATTTTTATATCATATGGAATTGTCTTATGAAATAATTCAAGTAATGATAGATCATTTTTATCAATTGAATTTTGTTGATCATTTATTGATGAATATAATTGTGGTTCAATTGATTCATTTGATAATATTCTATTATACGTACATTTAATTTTAATTCGTAATTTTTTTATTGATGATATATCATCTAAATCAAGACGAAGTTTAACATAACGACGATTATTTACAAAGCCATCATCACTATATTCATCACTGTCATATAAATCAACTTCATCTGGTACACGAGAATAAACAATTTGATTTTCATCACTAAATATTAGAGAAAAAGAACAAAATTTTAATTACATCTGATTATTTCTATTCAAATTTTAAAGTGTTGAACAAGATTGAGTAAAACTGTATAGAAGTACATTACACCTGATTGTTATCAAACTATGTTTTTAGATCTATGAAATTATTGTTTAACGCAATTTAGGAAATTTCTAATGAGAAAACATACCCAACTAACGAGCATCGTTCGAGTTCACCAGCTCTTTCGAACTGGAACTGCTACAATTCTAACCATGGGTCCGAATTTTTTAAAGCTTGACCAAATTTCATGAAGATCTACTCGTAGCTGTAATACGGAGTCGAACGATGTTCAACACTTGAATATGCTTTCTCGTCAATAATTTTTGAATGCAAGATTTCAATCTGTATTTTAATTGACAGATTGAATAAATCTATCAAAAATTTCCACAAAAAAAACTAATTGGAAAAGTTTTAGTTTTTTTCATGATTTTTGAATTTTTCAAAATGAATAATTCATCGATTTATTATTGTTAGGTTTAAATATTTTAGAGGGTCACTTTTTAACACTAATCTAATGATTAAATGAAATATTTATCAAATATGAAGTTTCTTTTTTTCTGTAACCATTTGTAGAATGGTTACAGAAAAATTAAAAAAAATGTGAAATTAACTATCAATTAATAAGAAAATATTTTGTTTTGTATTGCTTTATCTTCGAAAAAAGATGAGTTACAAAATCAGTAACTTTCGAAGGTTTTTCTACCAATCAACAAGCTGTACGAGGGTAATATATTGTGTGATATATAATGATGGCAATGTCTACTATTGGTATCAATAGTATTCAAAAGTTTCACAATGGCTAGAGAAAATACAGATGGTAAAACTTAGAATGATCGCTACAAATTTTTCACAAACATAAAACTTTTCATTTTTTTTAGCGTCTATAATCTTGGTATAAAATTTACTTATATCACACGAAATGATAGCATGAATTCTTATCGATAAAAAATGAAACGTTTCCGAGCTTTCTACGACATTTTTTCGTCGAACTATATCAGGTCGTTGTAAGGCGTAAATGTTTAAGATTCTATACAAACTGTGATTCTAATAAGCCAACATTTCTTCATAATATATTTAAGATATTATTAAAGTTTTCTCACCTGGAAAAGTATTGAAAACCTTAGAAAGGAAATATACATTAGATACGATGTTCTAATTCAGAACTTCCAGAGTACACTTCTTATTTGACTCTGACAGTGACTAAAACACTTAACTGTAATTATGACAAACAATACTTCATAAATAATTCATATGGAACGAAACTAGGATACTTATCGAAACTAATTTTCTACATATAAACAAGGTTCTTTTTATAATTATTCATTACCTAAAGAAATAAAACGAGAAGTACTTTCTGAAAATTTTTTTTTAAGAATTCAAATGTAAAAAGAAATGTCTTCATATTTGAATAAATTTTTTATCATACTTACTGAGAAATTAATTTACTTGTTTGACTCATAATATTTGTTCTCGATGATTTTCTTGATGGATTTGATAATGAATTATTTGCTGTTGAACTATTTGTTGTTGATGCTGATGTACGTATTTCATTATAACATTCAGCTATAACTTCAAAACACCGTCTTTCAGTTAATGTTAATGGAAATTCCATAATAACATTAATTAATATATGTCTACGGCCGGGTTCAATAATAAAATTATATTTACAAGCTTCATTTCGTATTTCATAATCGGGTCTATAAAGAATTTAAAATAAATTTATTTCTTATTTTAATTATTTAAAAAATAATTCATCGTACGTTTCTATATGTAGATATCTGAATACTTTGGAATAATTATTTATTATATATTCATGTTCATATCTTGATGTATCAATATCGAAATGTGTACGAGTTCGATAAATAGCCATTTTATTTAATCTAGAATTTAAAAAAGAAAGATTTTCTTATTTATTCCATTGAATTCAAATTAAATTAGAGTATATCTCGATGTTTCATTCAATTAAATGGATATCCATTAGCTATTAATCAATAATCGTATGAATTAAATTCAATATGTTTTTTTTTAATATAAGTATCAATTATAAAACTTCAAATTTTAAAGATATTTAAAATTCATTTAATCGTATACTTCGCTAATCATTTGTATGCAATTGATTAATTTTCATTTTTCGTAGACATATATGATATTTACACTATATATTTTAAGTTAGTATTAAAATGAAGGAATTAATTCTTATAGTTATATGGAAATTGAAGTTTTTTTGATATAGATAATTATTCTAAGAATCGACATACAAGGTATGGAATAGGAAATTTAATTATATCTTGTCAAGAAAGAAAATCAAGTTATACAAACCATCCACCTGCATGCTATTCTCTTTTGTAACAAATTAGAACTAGTTTGATGTCATCGTCATACATTTTTGAAAAAAATCTATTTGTATATTGAGTTTAATCGATTCATGAAGAATATGAAGATAAATATTCATGTGTACATTCTATTGAAAAAGGATTCCACGTATATGTTCTGTTTTTCGTCATTTAATATAGTAATTAAAATTTTCGAATTTTGAAAATATTATAACTTATAGGTAAATTATCTCGATTACTATAAACGAAAGTTTCGACCACATCTGCATATGCAATTAAAAAACTACTCATTAAATAATTCAATTTCTTCTGCTTTTAAGTATTCTGTCTTATGAACACAAAATCACAACTAAAAAAACATGATTCGTCAGTATCACTACCACTAACATTTCAAAGGTTTCTATCAATAGTAGCAAGGATATTTATTAAAGATATATCTATATATGAAAAGATTTAATTATTTCAAAGAAATATATTTATAT